AGTTAATAAATCGTCAGGAGAATCTTCTCAGCAAGAATTCGCAATTATATCTGGAGGGAATTAGGTTCTCGAAAACCTTCCGATTTGCTTAGAAATATGAAACGTCGAGCAGAATCTTTAAATGTTCCTGATAACTAATGTTAGAATTATTCCTTCAACGTTTGCCTTCGACTGTTCAGTCTATTTTGGCAGCGGTTTCCAATTTAGTTGTAGATAAAGCTGCAGAAATTGCCGACAGAATTTTAGAAGTAAATCCAATCCCAGGGACTTGTGCCGTTTCTCTCACACAGTCTATCAGTCTCTTGAAAATAAATTATTTAAACAAATAGAAAAATTAAACAAACGTATTGATCGCATTCTCTTCTCGTGGTCGCTCGCCAAATTGCGGAGATCGCATAAGGAAAGAAGCAATTCCAAAAGGAGAGATATTCTGTTTGCTGGTATCATAGACGTTTTGGGAAAAAGTGTAGAGATGACAAATGTACAAAACCTTGTTCATGGCGGGAAAACCAGCAAAGAATTGAGGCGACTTATCTTTGCCTCAAGTTTCACGTCACTGTTCGTTCGTGACCATAGAACAAACCTTTCATTCTTGGTCGATACCGGCTTCGACGTGTCCTTACTTCTAGCAATAATTCTCAAAAACGGATTCGTCCCAACAAACACTTTTCGCTGCTAATCTTCTCTATTCATGTTTATGGTAAAAAAACACTTTCTTTGGATTTCAATTAAGGCGACATTTACATGGACTTTTCTTATAGCAAATGTTAGTACACCATTCTTGGAGCAGATTTCTCCATTTCTTTGAATTGGTGCCTGATCTCAGAACAAATGTCTCAAAGATTAAAAACGCATTTTAATACCGTCGGTTGCGTGAAAAAGGCAAGCATTTATTCAGTAAAAAGTATTTAGTGATACATCATATCACAAAATTTTAAAAGAATTTCCTTCAGTTACTAGATTACCAGATCCTAACCAACCTGTTAAACATAACACCGTTCATTATATCATAATAAAGTCCACCTGTGGTTGCAAACCTCGTCAGTTTAGCTCCAGATCGCTTAAAATAGCAAAACAAGAATTTCAAACTATGATGCCAATTGGGGCATTTGAGACCTTCGAGCAGCAATTATGCATCCCCACTTCACATGGTTCCAAAAAAGGGAAGTCTGGAATGGAGACCTGTAGGAAATTATCGAGCATTGAACGCTCAAACAATAAAAGACAAATACCCTATTCCATGCTTAGCCGATTTTACTGCTGCATTGCATGGTACTAAAATTTTTAGTCATGTTGACCTGATTAAGGCATACCATCAAATGCCAATTAACTCAGCCGACATCCACAAAACCGCCATATGCACACCATTCGTTTTATTTGAAAGTACCCATATGTAATTCGGCTTATGCAATGCATCCGCGACTTTTCAATGTTTTATAGATGAAGTCACGCGGGATTTAGAAGGTGTTTATGCTTTCGTCGATGACTTGCTCATAGCCTCTAAAGATTCTGAGGAACACTGCAGGCATTTGAAAGCTTTATTTTCCAAACTTCAGGAATATGGACTTTGCATAAATGTTTCAAAATGCACCTTTGGTCAAACGTCTATTGATTTTTAGGTTTTCACCTTAATGAAAACGGAATTGAACCTCTTCCTGACAAAGTCAAATGTATTTTAGATTTTCCTCAACCTACTATTCTCACTCAGCTTCGCCGATTTTTAGGCATGTTTAACTTTTACAGATGTTTCATACCTAAAGCAGCACATATTCTTTCTTCCTTTAATAAAATTGTTAGAAGGCTATATTAATAAAAAGAAACCTCGTTCTCGTTTCAGGATTCATCCCTACAATTAATTGGAACGAGAATGCTGAACAAGCCTTTATTGCTGCCAAAAATGCCATTGCTCAGGCTACCCTTTTGAGACACCCTATTCCCGGAGCCCAGCTAAGCATCTGGGTAGATGCCTCAGACGTCGCAGTAGGCGGCACACTTATACAGTTGTCTCAACAACCTATAGCATTTTTCTCTATGAAACTCAATAAAAGTTAACAGAAATGGTCCGCGTACGATAGGGAATTATTTTCAATTTATTCTGCAATTAATAAATTCCGACACATGTTAGAGGGCAGAAATTTTATAATTTATACGGATCAAAAACCGTTAATATACGCTTTTAAACAGAACCCTCATAAATGTTCATCTCGACAATTGCACCATTTAGATTTTATTTCTCAGTGCTCTACTGATATTAGGCATGGCAAGGTTCAAAAAAACGTCGTTGCTGACCCTCTTTCGAGAATCGAAATTGATTCCATAACAAAATCTCCATTTTTGGATTTTAAAAAAATTTTCGGAAGCTCACCGGCATGGATCCAGAGATACAAGACCTTCTCAAAAACAACACATCATCTTTGAAACTGGAATTTAAACCGTGCCAATATTCTGATGGTAATATTCTTTGTGACATATCAATGGACATTCCTCGTCCGTTTGTTCCGAATTCCTTTCGCAGACTTATCTTTAATCATCTGCATAATCTGTCACATTCAGGAATTGCAGCTACTATGAAGCTTATTTGTTCTCGTTATGTATGGCCCGATATGAAACGTCATATCAAAAATTGGGTGAAATTCTGTGAATCTTGCCAAAAATCGAAAATTACTAGGCATACTATGTAAAAGCACCTGGGCACATTCTCTCTTCCTGATGCACGTTTTTCAGAAATCCGTATGGATATCGTCGGACCGCTACCTCCATCAGAAGGCAACGTGTACCTTTTGACTGTAATAGATAGATTCTCCAGATGGCCTGAAGCCATTCCTATCCCGGATATGAAAACGGAAACCATTTGCAGAGCCAACTTCAACTGTTGGATATCTCGTTTTGGCTGCCCATCGATCATAACAATAAACCAAGGTTCTCAAATGAGATCCGCACTTTTTGCAGAATTTACGCGCATTTTGGGTACGAACAGAATCACAACAACAGCCTATCATTCCAATGTCCAACGACATTGTTGAACGATTTCATCGACATTTAAAATCTTCTCTCAAGGCTCACGAGACCAATAACTGGACTGAAACACTACCAGTTGTTATGCTTGGTATTCGGACAGCCGTAAAGGAAGATTTACAGTCATCTTGTGCTGAACTGGTGTACGGCACAACTCTCAAGCTGCCTAGTGATATGATAACGTCATCAAAGATATCTCCGTATGACACACAATTTATCACGAATCTTTGGCATAGAATGCAACAATTGAATCCAATAGCAACATCTGCACATTGCCAAGAAAAGTGTTACGTAAAGTGCTATCTTAAAGTCGTGTACGCATGTATACTTATGTGTCGATCGAGTAAAGCCCACCTCTGTGCCAACCATACACAGGTCCACATAAAGTCCTTTCTAGAATGGACAAAACTTTCACAATTCATATTAACGGTCTGAAATTTACTGTGTCTACAGACCGTGTGAAATCAGCTTATTTGCTTTTGGACTCTAATTTTTGAACTGAAAACAAATAAAGACTTAAAGAAAGTTCAGCAGAATAAATCTGCAAATGAACTCTCTAAGACACAAACTGTCACCAGATCGGGAAGACATGTTCACTTCCCAAAGAAACTTGCTTCTTACATAACAATTTAAAACATTTTTTAAAATTCATATCTTAACATATTTCTTGGTTATTTCATGTTTATTATATGTGTCAATACCTTGTTATATATTGAATTGCATTTTGATCTTTTCTAATTTATATTCTAATTTTGTAATCATGTAAAAAATACCCGACAGTACAGATCCTCTGAGATAATTTCATAATCTATGTTGTTCCTTTGAATAGCCATTAAAGGAACTGGGGGGAAACTCTGTGGTGATGGCGATAAGGAGCGCGCCTTGCGCCCTCCGATAAGTGTGGCAACTAGAGGAGAAGTTTCTTACGAGTAAGTAGCGAGCAGAGCGAAACAGGCCGGCTGTCGGGCAGTGTGCGCGAAGTTCCGAAATAAAGCTTTTTATTGTACACTGTCTTGTTAATATTTATATTAATGCAGTAAGAACATAATCTGTGATAAGGAATTCGAGGGTTGGTAGTAAAAACATATCGGAAATCACCATAAGAGTTACACTTTTTCTACTTACACCTGACTATGTGCTGTTTAAAGGTCATTTTGTCCATGTGCTCATCAAGCCTGAAATAATTTTACCACCAACTCCAGGTATCCTTAATTTGTCATGTTGAAGCTGACATTCGCATCTGAATGAATGCCTTAACTGTAGTTTAAATTTGAACGGTATTTCTCGAATACCCAACATCAGTTAACCTTTTCTGTATTATCTATAAATTTCCGTATCTCGTATGTTTCCACCCTAACTTATTTTGGATGCTATCGCATCTTTAGATCTCTATCAACACGATTGTTTCGCTGACAGTAAAGGGAGTAGTTAGTTGTACGTCAGCTATGTTTTTTATTAAAATTAAGTGAATTGCGCAGTGCAGTATGGGAAATCTCTATATTTGTTCTGCTATAGAAAGGTTGGGGCATTCTACCAAATTCTATCTCCACTTCCGAGAGGCAGTTAATGCTTATTCGTCACGTGAATGAGACATGTTGAAAAAATCGGGTTTTGCCACTTGTGAATGGGACTTAATTGTGTGTTTAACTTCTCTCTTCCTCTATTGATGCTAAATCACCGTGGTGATAGCTTTTTTCCCCTTTTCTCTCTCTCTTCTTTTTAAATATAAAAAATGGTTGCCATGAAAGGATGTAAATGCCAATTTACATATTACAGTTTATTAAAAATTAATAATTTTTTAAAAATAGGTAATAAAATAATGAATGTTAGAAATTAAAGTAAGTAATTTTTTTTTTTCTGCTGGCAGAAAGCTAATCACTTCTTCAGAACCATCATAATGTACTTTTGTAGTGAATAAAAATATATTTTTTTATTTAAATGAAGTATGGAATTAATACCTTTTTCTAAAAAACATTATCTTCTAGAATGCCGAAAGTAGTGACAATGGTTTTGGTAAAATGGATGCTCTGGTTGCTGCTGTTGGTCTTGATGAAGATGTTGTGTACAGCAAATCAACAGCAATTCAGGTAATATTAATTTCTTTTAGTCTTTTATTATTATTTGCCTTGTTTGTTAAGAGAATAGGGGTGACTGTGATCTAAATGTAGTTGGAAATCCTTATTTTTTAGATAAGATGAAAGTAGTAATAAGAGAGTAAATTTCTTGATGTGTTTGATAAATTATTTTTACCATGTTTGAAATTGTATGGACACATATTTTCGCAGATCTGAAGTGGTAGATTGTAACCAGGACTATATTTGGTTGACTTAGATAACCAATTGGTCAAATAATGTGTTATCCGAGAACGAGAACTAGCTGTCTCTTCTACAGTAATCTTGAAAACAAAGGCTATGCTGGCTAATTTTGAGAACATTGATGTTGCTTATACAGTCAAAAGTCTTTAATCCGGACTCGTCGAGACTTCTGCGATTTCGGATTAAGGTTTTTTCCAGATCGTAGATCATCAGTTTAAATCTGGTAAGATGGCATGGAGAAATTATAAAATTAAAAATATGAAATTGTAATTTATGAAATAAAGAACAATTATGATCTAAAGGGTATCAAAATTTACAAAAAAAAAAAAAAAAAAGCTTAATATTTATTTGTTTACTTTATTAAACATTTCTTTCAATGTAAGTTGCTTCGTTTTATGTGATAATACTTTCTCTTTAATTCTATAAACAGACATAATTTCTAGTTCAGTTACAAAGTTCCGCTGTTCAAGTCCTATAATTGCTGTGTCGAGAATACCAACTAATTTGTCAATCGAAATTTTTTTCGTTTTCTATAACCTCTGTGTCACTTTCTTCACTATCGGAAGCGAATTATAATGACAAGGAATTTTATTTAAATCATATCAAAGACGGAGTACATCGAGATGAAATGCTACATTTAGTAAGGAATTATAAGGCAAATAAAATAAAAACATCTGCCCTGAAGATAAGGATAGTGCTGACAGATCAACTTCCAGTTCATTGCACACCATGATGTCCCCCCTCCACAGAGCAGCGGGAAATTGATAAAAAGATTTTGGAATGGTTAGAGAAACAAAGGATATGTCTTTATCCATTTTTTTGCAGCAATTCCACTTTTGTTTGATGGACATCGAAACATTTCGCTTGTAGATCCTTTGGCAGCTCCAGCATCGAAATTCTATTTGACATAATCGAAAGTTCAAGCTACTTTTATAAAATTGCTCTAATAGTCTGCAAAAAATAATAAGCCGGATCCAATTCGAAGATTAAGGAACAACGCAATCTGCAACATTGACTGAAATAGATAATTAGATAATTTTAGCTTAGCTTATAAACATCCGTTATACATTAAACGCGCATGCGTACATTCACACACGCATATGTGTATGCGTGAATGAATTGACGCATGCGCAGAAAGTTTGTAGTTTTGAGGTCCGGATTATAGATCATTCCAGATTATGGGTGTCTGGATTAACGACTTTTGACTGTAGTTATGTAATATTATGTGATATAATAGGAAGTGTCCTAAATAGACAAAAGCAGTTATATTTTAGAGCAATCTTGTGTGACCCATATTTAACCAGCTGTCAGGTCTAATCTCTTTTTTACAATGTTGTAATAGGAATTTTAAATTATCACTTAGATTTATTGTTTCTCCCTTTCACATGTCCCCCATAGCAGTTTTAGCATATGATTTGAAAACTTTTTAATACACCTGTATCTGATTTGAATTTTTTGCTAAAACATTTCAAATCCATTCATCTGAACCTTGTGTCGAACCACACAGAGATGAGAAAATTGTGTGCGCAGTTCCCTACAAGTCACTCTTTTCAATCTGTTACGATGTGTGAGACGACATAGTCTGACATCACAGACGCAATAATTTGTTCCGTTTGACAGTACAAGAGCCATAACTTCACGACCAGTGTAGTGTCGAGAGAGTTAGCATTCTGCACTGTTGTCAAAGCCTCTTTATTTCAGGAAGGCTGATGAATCAATTATCTTGTTTTTCCTGTGATATCGTTTCAGATATGAAGAATCAGAGGATGTAAAATGTAATTGAAAAATAAGGAGGCATGACTAATTCAGTCTGCAGGTTGTTTCCAGTGGAACAACGTGTCAGAATGCTCTTGAACTCGGAACAGAGCAGAATCTTCTCATAACAAGGACGATAACTTTACGCACAACAATTGTTCTATCTTTTCCATGTTATCAGATATTGTAATAGAGCTTCTCATAAATTTTTAATAAATATGTTTTGCAATAAAAATGCAGTAATATCCAACCTCAACAAATATACTAATTTCTTACATGGAGCCAGTTGTCACAACCTCAAGTTCCTATATAAGGCAAATTTTCCACTCAATATTGCAGAATGGGCATTTTTGAAAAAATTAGTCTTATTCTGTAAAGTGGATTGGATAGTAAATTACGAGTAAATGAATTTTGTAGAAAGGTTAGAAGAGAACTGTTTAGGGCACAAAAAATATCAATGCCTGGTGATGAAGTCATCAAAGTGTGCTCATTAAAAAAGAAAGAAACGAACTTTATATCTTGTACTTGTACTTTGTGATAGTGGACACCTTCTTTTCTCTCTAAAGCATTTGTAAAAGTGGAAATTACTCCCCTCCCCTCGTGTGGAATCTATTGTAGTCTACCAGGTCGGCAATTATTCACTAATTTTTTATTTAGCAAACATTCACGTAACTACTTGCATTTGTCCTCATTATTACATTGAAAACTGGCTCTTCCATTTTCAAAAAGGCATTAATTTTAGCAACTTGCCAACATTTTAGAAATTTTAAGATTGGTTTGTAAAGAAAAATTTTAATTTAGTTGTAGTGTGCTTAACTATCATAAAATGTGATTAGTGATTTTTGCGACTTCTTACACAGGCTTGAAGATGAACACAACAAAGGAAGAGTGTAAAAGACCCTTTTATTGAATACAAAATATTTAACAGAGGTCACGGACTTACGTGCTTACGCAAATCGCTGATCACTTGCAATGAGAACATAAAAGATAATGTAACACTAGTGTAAAGATAAAGAGTAGTATGAGGTTACACTATTCAGGTTATCTCTGAAACCTACACCACCAGGCTGCCAGCTGTATGGCAAGAATGTGTAACCACTATTAAGGTTAACAGCTGATAGAAACTAATAAGCATGCACTCCCAATAGGCACAATCATGCTCAGTCTAACCTCTTCTCTCCAACAGTTTAATTAGTCTTGTTCACCCTTCTTCATTTATATCCTGGTGAAAGGAAATAAGAGAATTCAGGGAAGGCACACTAAATAAAATAACTATTACTAATAAATATTAGTAAAACATAAGCTGAATCCCACATAGTGATTTGCAAATTTTTTAGCGATTTTTCAACAAATATAGTACTTTTATAATAATTTCAGTAGAATAAGATAATATATTATATATATATATATATTTAAATTACGTTAAAATAAGATAGTTTTTCTTCTCTCTGTAATGGCTGTGTTATTTTAGCAGTATTTGAATATTTTGATTCTAAAATTTAAATGAGATATGAAATCTTAAACAGCCAGTTCTAAAAATAAAAAGAAAAGTAGTATTTTAATTATTTCAAAATTAATTCCATTTGTTTAATTTTCCATTTTTTATGGTGTAAGTTTCCTCCTATGTCATTGTTTTGAAATATTCAAATATGTGTTAACTTTCATGGTAAAATTAATTTTTTCAAAAAGATTTCTTACTTTTCAACTCTTTTAAAGTTGGCAGATATGACATTGCATTTTGAAATTTTTTAAATATTTCTTTAGTGAAATTTAAAATCTTTTATTTCAGACATGGCTATTTGCCTATGAATTGACAGATACAATAATGGTTCTCTGTGAGGACTGCATATACTTCTTAGCAAGTAAAAAGAAGGTAGAATTTTTAAAGCAGTTTGAATCTGGGAAAGAAAATGAAAATGAGGTTCCTCCATTAACTTTACTTGGCAGAGACAAAGTAAGCTTTTTATTATGTTTTCAGTAATTATATCTAAATGTTGTAATATGCTAAAACATGTTATTTTTGATATTTTCCTGTTAGCTCAGTGCCAGTTGTAATAGCCTGTGTATAAAATCATGTCATAAATAGCTCTGCAGTATTTCGTGTGGGTTACCGAATTTCTAGAATTCTCCATTGATTTTTTAAGCAAAAACATATTTCTGTGTACATTCTACTGATGTACACAGTGATATATTTGCATTTAAGGAAACATCAAACAATTGTGCAAATTTGGCATTATGCACATTAAACGTTATGTGTAATACATTATTGTTATAACAGGTTCATTTTTTTCCGTATGAAATGTATGTTGTTTTGTATTAGCTGAGAAATGCTTGGCGCCAGAGCGGAATCTTGGCTAATAGCGCATGTGCCTCCGGAATTGGCACTGAAATGTATTCTGTGAGAAACTTTTTTTTTGTGGTACATTGGAAGTTGCGATTTATATGTTACTCTTTAAGGTGAAACCTAGTGCCAGAGAGTCGTTATGGAAAATAAATGTATTGAAACTGTAATGTGTGTGGTGGTATTTTATTATGATATATAGCTATCGACGGGAAATAGAATAAGTCAATACAAGTTTTGTGGTCCTTCGAGCCGGAGCAGCTAATGAAGTTTATGAGACTGTGATATTACTTTCGGTTTTGTGAAATGAAGAATTACATAGGATACTTCCAGATTGAAGTTCTGTAGAAACAAAAGGATAAGTACCCTCTCCTTTTTGAAGCTCTTTATTTGTTTATTGACTTTTGCTAATTAAAATGTCACTAAAGGAGATATTAGTGAAAAAACGTTCATTGAAAACACAGTTTTCAATTTAACAGATGCAGTCAAATTACAGTACTTAAAAACTGCGCTAAGAGGAGATGCTTATCGTATTGTGCAGTCAATATCCATAGTTGACTCTAATTATAAATTAGCCTTTTCATTATTAGAAGAAAGGTTCTCTAATCACCGTGAACAAGTGTATGCTCATCTGAGACGATTTATGAATATGCATCCTATACAAAATGAGTCTGCGTCAGCAATATTAAACTTAATTGACATTACAAATGAATGCATGAGATGATTAGAAGTTTTAAATCAGAGTGTTAACGGTTTTTCTTCCAATGTATTTGCATACATTTTAAGGCAAAAATTAGATCCTAACACTACAATATGGTGGGAAAGAAAATTAGAAAAACAGAATTTGCCTAATTTAACAGATCTTATAGAATTTCTTAAAGATCATGCAAGAACTCTCAACGCTTCAAATAGTGTGACTAACACAAAAAAAGTTACACATAGTTACCGCTGTAGTTTCTAATGCAAATGAAAAACGTATGCAAAATTCGTGTAGGTTATGTAATTTGAGCAATCACAAGCTTTTTAATTGTCCTAAATTTCAGAAATTAAGTGTAAAAGAAAGGGTAGAATTTGTGAAAAAACTTGAAAGAAAAAAAATTGTGAACTCGAAAAAAAATTGTGAAATTTATGTTTTTGTTGTTTTAATTTGCACAGTGTGAGAAATTGCCGTTCTAATTACTTGTGCAAGAAGTGTAAGGAAAAACATAGCTTTCTCTTGTGTTATCAAAACGAAAATAATTCCGTTGACACTACAGAAGAAAGAGCAGACACTTCAGATCAGGAGTTGGGTGATCAAAACAGCAATGCGTTAAATGTATATGCACCTGCATTTCAAGCTAAAACTCAAAACGAAACCTTTACAGCAGCTATGGGTACTAACAGTGGGAAAAACGTGATTTTATCTACTGCCTTTGTATTCATTGAGACTAATGATGGAACTTTAATTAAGGTGAAAGCATTATGTGGTAGTGGAAGTGTTTCTTGCTTTTATACCACTGGAGGTATAGAGTGGAAATTTATTCCTCCAAAGTCGCCAAATTTCGGCGGAATTTGGGAGGCCGGGGTTAAATAATTTAAGAGTCATTTGAAGAGAGTTATTGATAATCAGTGTTTAACTTTAGAAGAATTTTAACTGTTTCACTGAAATTGAAGGAGTATTGAACTCAAGACCTCTTACTCCAATTTCAGCTGATTACAATAATTTGAAACTTTGACCCCAGGTCACATTTGGTTGGTAGACTTATCACAACTCTAGCTGAGCCAGATTTGTCCAACATAAATGAAGAACAGACTTTCTAAATGGCAAAGAATCACTAAGTAGACACAAAAAATTTGGAAAATATGGAAATGTGATTATCTTAATAATTTACAAGAATGTTACAAGTGGAAATTTTTAAAGGATGACGTTCAGTTGGGAACTCTTTTATTAATAAAGGATGAACATTTGCCTTCAAACCTCAGAATGAAAACCTCAGAATAGCTGAGGTTTTTCATGGTAGTGATAACAAAATAAGAGTAGTAACTGTAAGATTGCCTAATCAGCATTTGCTGAAACGAAATGTTCGAGATATATGTATACTTCCTGTAGAATGATGGTTTATTTCTATTATAAACTGGTATTTGTTGTAATAATTTAAATGTATATTTTCCAATATTGTGATTTGTTATTGTGAAGTAATTTATTGTAGTGCCTTTATATTTACATTTATTTAAACCATAGTACCTACCACAAATAGACCAACCTCACATCTCCTTGATATAATCCTCTCAATTCCAGCCAAATACAGGCAGAAAAGAATTGGGCTTAACACAAAACCCTGGGGGGGACGCCTTGGCTAATTTAAAGGCATTTGACATAGTGGAATTAAGCTTTACTTTTATCAGTCTATTTCTTAAGAAATCTGCGATCCAGATCCCCTGATGCCAAAATCTTTGTAGTGTTTAGCTATTTGTTTATGTTTCCAGACACGGTCAAACGCCTTTGACAAGTCTAGAAAAGCAGCCACAGTATGATTGGTAGGTTGCTTGTTTTGGGCATCTCTAATGGCTGAGATAGACCAATTGATCAGTGGTGCTATGACCTCTTCTGAAACCGTATTGTTCTTTAGGTAGGAGGTCGTGGGTGTCCAGGAGAAAGAGCAACCGCTCCATGATCATTTTTTCCATGACTTTACATGCAATGCTGGTTAGGGCAATGGGTCTAAAGTTCCCAGGAGATCCATCGATTTGGCCAGGTGTCAACAGGTATAATTTGGGCTCTTTTCCACTCTTTAGGTGTCCTAGACTTCAAGATTGATTTACTATATTCTGAAATTTCTTTTTTGCATGAGTGCCAAGATGCCCAATCATCTGGCCATGGATACCATCAGGTCCAGGAGTTTTTGTAAGTCTTGGTCTAGTAAGTCAAGATCCTCAAGTCCCATCTCCAATTCATGTATGGAGAAGGATTTAAAGAAAAGGGGATTGCCCGAGACAGCACTACGACATCCATGTGCAAGATCTCGAGACCTTTTTCTCATTTTTTTATCAGCTTCTGTAAAAGTCATCTTACTAATCTCCTGGTAATGTGCCTCGAGGAGATCAGCCACAGCGTTTTCATCTATAGGGTATCTGTAAGTCGTGAGACCCGAGAACCAATGGTAATTATTTGCAAAGTGTAGAAAATGACACTGGCAACAAATCTGACAGCACTGAATGATTTAAGGCATAGGGACTAGCAGTGGTCTCCACAATAAGAGTGAATGAAATTCAAGGGAAGTAGAAATGAAGATATCTTTTTAGATGTTGTAATATTAATATTACTTTTTATTCTTATTCCAGCACAGATTTTTTTAAAATTAATAATATTGTAATAGTTATCGGTAGTTTATCCATAAATACTTTAATTTGTTATGCTGTTACTGTAAACCTGGCATTTAGAAATTTAAAATTATTCGCATAATATTCTCCTCTCAATTTTTGTACAACAGAATCAATGAAATGGACAGATATGCAACTAAATACTTTTAATAACAGCAACAAAATATAAAGTGTTTTGAAAGAAATCAGAAATTTTGTAAGGGGCAAAAACAAAGATTTGCATGGCCAGTATTTACATCTCTATCCGGTGTAAAGTATTCAACAAAATAATAGTTAAATATAAAACACATAAATTCGCATGCAATTAAACATGTGCACTTTAGGGGTATGCATAAGTTGCCTATTGTCCAATGTATACTGAAAAATATGCCAGAAACAGCAGTTTTGCTGTATATATAATCCAGGGGTGCAGATAATCAGGAATTGCCAGATTTTCTTTTCATAATGAGAGTATTCTTTTGTGTACTTCATAACTTTGAATTTCATAATTATTTTTAAACATGCAAGCATTTTAAGATCAAGAGGCATTGGTAGATGATTCCTGTTGGCATATTTTGATGACTCCTGTTGGCATATTTTGCATGTACAGACCTATATTTGGTCTTAAATTATATTAAAATTAAATTAATTACGTCATTAATTGTAAGAAAACAACAGAGTAATTTCTCACATTAATGTTAAAATTTATTTAAGCTTAAGTGTGTAAAATAAACAAAAGTACTGTTTCACAAGCTGCTTTTAATGTACGTTTTTCCTTTGATTTATGTTATTTGGAACCATAATTGGTTTGTTCATTGCTGAAATATTTACAATATATTGTGTATAGATAGATATGCATGTGCAGTATGAAAAGCTTTTGGAATTTTATGCTTACTTCCGAATATTTTTTGCAGGCTGATAAAGATAAAACAAATTTTGAGAAGCTTATTAGTGCAATTAAAAGTAGCAAGAAGGTAAGTTTTCCATAATTGTTTAGACTCTTCTGTTATCAAGATCAGATTCAGAAATGTATATATGTACATGCACATAAAATACATATATACATATGTGAAGTATGCTCCTTCAAAATTTCTCCGTATTTTAAATAAATACATTTAATTACATTATCTTACATAGTACAGTTACATAGCAAATACGTGTTACACAGCTCTTCACACTACATTCTTAAAACCCACGCCAACTCTCACTCTCAAATCGAAACTTTTCTCACACAGTTGAGGGGTGTTTCAACGCCCTCTATGGAAGATCTCAACATATACTCCCACTGGATGACCGTTCAGGACATGAAACTACCTCTTACATGAAATTATTACTTAACATTACTCTTAGTAATTCTATTTAATTTAGAAATTAAATGTTTAGTAAACATATAATTTCTAGATTAAATAGTTCTTGCTTATAAATGAGTAATACTAAGCCTAAACAACATATAAATGTAAACAATGAATTACACAAATTAATATAATAAATGTGTACAATAACATTAAAACTTAAGAATTCAAATGAATATCAAGTTAAAGTTCAAAATTTTTCACGATACTTAACTGTCTATTGGTAACACACCAGTTTGTGAATGGGTCTCTTGAATTCACCATCAGCAGTTTTTTACTTTTGCAACACGAACTCTGTAATATTACTTGGGTAATTTCAGTGATACGTCCCAGTTTCATTTTAAGGGGTGTGTGATCTTCCTTAATGATTACTAAGTCATTTACTTTAAATATTTGCTGAGCATGATGCCATTTTGTGCGAACTTGCAGTTGAGTCAAATAGTCCTTAGACCATTTCCTCCAGAAGGACTGCGACATTTGCTGAATTAGTTTTCAACGATTGTGAAGTGTTAGTGTCTCGTCACACACATTTGGTTCCGGAATAGCCTTTTAATGATGTTCCTATTAAAAAATGACCCGGTGTAATCACGGAAAAATAATCTGGATCACTTGAAATCACTACTAATGGTCTTGAGTTCAGACATGTCTCAACTTCTGCTAGATGAGTAGCAAATTCTTCAAAAGTTAGAACTTGAGAATCAATTGCTCTTCTCATAGGATATTTCATAGCCTTTACTGCATGGCTTCCCATAGTCCACCAAAGCGCGGCGCAGAAGGCGGAACTGAAATTTCCACTTAATTTCTTCTTTTGTTAAGTATCTAAGCTACCCTTTTGGTTCAGAACGATATGATTTCAATTGTCTGTTACCACCTATAAAATTAGTGCTGCAATCACTATACATTTCCTCTGGCCTTCCACGTCTAGCAATGAATTGTTTTAGAGCTGCTATGAAGGAATCTGTCATCATTTCTCCACTTCTTCTAAATGCACTGCCTTAATACTAAAACATACGAAAACACAAATGTAGATCTTCACTGTCCGAACACAGTGCCCTTTCCTCCGTTTAACTTGGAAAGGACCCGAAAAATCCACACCACTTTTCGAAAAAGCTCTTGCGGGATTCACCCTGGATGCTGGAAGATCACCCAGCTCACTTCTGTGTCGACAGCATTTACGAATGATCTTGCAAATGGCTGCTCATGCATTAATAATCCAGTATCGCTGCTTGATTTCTGAATGGAGCATTTGTGCTCCTTCTTGAAGATATTTATAGTGATAATATTGTATTATCAGTTCTGTAATATAGTGTTATTTAGGCAAGATGACTGGATATTTTACATTCTGTGCGATGCTAGCATTTCTTAGTCGTCCTCCCACTCATAGAATACCCTCATTGTCTAAGAATGGATTCAACATATTGAGTTTACTGCGAGGACTCATTAGTTTTCTCTTTTTCAAATGATCGATTTCTTCACTAAATTCTTGCATTTGCACAGACTTATTACCCAAGATGTGCTAGAGCTAGCTCTCCAGTCTGGGACAAATTTAATTTTGTCCTTGTTGATTGATGACCGTTTCAACACTGGCAATAAATCTGAGATACCAAGCTATAACTCGTAAAAGTTTTGTCCAAAAAGAATATTTATGAACCAGTTCATCAATCACAAAATTCTTAATCACAGTAGTATGCACAACGCAACCCTTTCTCTCAGGTTCTACTACTTCCAGTGGGATATCCTTCAAGTGGATGCTGAGGAAAAAAAACTATCTTTTCCTTTCTAGCCAATATGGACCACACCATCAACGATCACCTTCCAACAAACATTGAAGCTGGCACACCTCCTACTAACTAAATTATCAAGATTTTCCCTTCCACTGCAATGATTCCAAGACCTGGGATCTGATTTTTTCTGCACTTCAACCACTCTATTACTGACAAACTGTTTCCATTGTTTCGCAGAACCCTTTATCCAAAGCAAGGCAATTAAGGAATCAGTCCAATACACAAATTTATCAATAAGATCCTTAAAAACCTCTCCCAGATACTTTCCTATTTTAGCTCCTATGACTGCTGCCATTAGTTCCAATCTTGGCAAGGTTAATTTCTTCGAAGGAGCTACTTTGCTTTTTGACATGACAAACAACACTGAAATGTCACTCTTATCATTTAAGTAACGACAATACGCTACAGCACCATAAGCTATAGGAGACGCATTGCAAAATGCTTGTATTTCCATTTTTGAATTTAAGTTATCACAACACACAAATTCCTCAGAACTGAAATATCCTTCAGATGTTTAACCTCAGAACATCAACTAGTCCACTTGATTTTAAGGTCATCTGGCAATTTCTCATCCCAACCAATACCATGTTCCCAAATTTCCTGAAGCAAACACTTAATCCTAACTACAAATGGAGCTGCAAAACCATTGGTCAAAATCATTGCTGCACATGCAACCACATAACGCTTTATGCTCTTCAAACTTTTTAAAACTCTTCATTAATCTTGCCTATATCATAGAAAATTATCATTTACTGGGTTCCAGTTAAAGCCTAAAACCTTCAACTGACAATAGAAGTTACAATTATCATCGCTAAGTCCATTCTGCATCCACAATGACCTCAGTTTCTCAGAATTAGTTTTTTTTTGTAAAATCATACTTAAAATCCTTAAATCGACACAGCTTCAGAAGACAGCTTAATGCCTCTTCCACTATTCCCCAAAATATAAATCATCTACATACCGTGAGATTCACATTTCAACACATTCAGGTTATTATTCCCTGTACTGCTTTAAGTGCTTTTTAGGTTGCTTAAATAAATGGCAATGACTTACACCAAATGGCATACGGTCATGTGCATATTTTTGTAGTCTTCATTTGTTTTTCTGATAACCACAAGAATTTAAAGATTTCCTGCCTCTTCTGAAAATTCCAATCATCAAAAATGCTTTCTCTATATCAGCACAAAATGCAATTTTGAATTTCCTAAAATTAAACATAACATCCAGTACAACTACAATTGAAAACCACGTGAACTTTAGTAGTATCTTTATCGGTTCTCACAACTGCTATGTGGCATGAAATATTCCTTCGCATCCCTAGAAATTTCTTCAATTATTCTTTTACTCTGTTGATCTTTAATTATGTCCTTGTATTCATTTGCCAACCATTCATTATTTTCTAAATTGTTTTTTAAGTGCTAAAGTCTTTTTTTTAGCAAGACAAAAGTTATTTTTAAATCCGTTGGCTTTGTTCCCCATAACAAACAAGTTTCATATCTTTCATCTACAAACCTCAGATTATCTTCAAATTGTTTTATCAAATTCTCATCTGCAGTTGATAACTTATAAGAATCTGTAATTCCAACGATTCTAATTCCATAGCATCTGCATATCGATGGCAACGCAAAACTTGTTGATATTATGTTTCCCCAAAGTTTATCCTCAGAATTATTTTGTATGCCCTGGAGTGTAATGCCAAAAGTATTGTACAGTTTAGCGTTTTGGTTAATTTTTCTACGTTCGACTCTTTTAATGACGTCCCAAAAATAATCTACTCCCATTAAAATGTGAATACTTTCAATCTGAATCAATGCATGGCCTCAGCTAAATTTAACCCTTTTGCTTAAAATATTTTGAATATTTATATTATGAAATGCAATGGGTGCGGCAGTAATCATTTCAGTAACTAATGTTCTATCTCAATATTTCTTAGGATCGTTTCCTATTCCTCAATGTTAACTTTACTACACTGTAAGTTTTATGTATGGCTTTCGTAGACTCAAAAGCATAAACTGACAATCTTTCCTTTTGAATGGTTTTAAGTCTAAGAGCATCTGCCGAAGATTTTGTTATCCAAGATCTTTCACTGCCGTTATCCATTAACACCCGACATGGTTTAAAGTTTCCTTTCGAACAAGCCAAGACAGTACAAGTTTGTAGTAAAGCACTGCCATTTGACCCCTGCTGAGAGAAGCTGCACTGAGTCACCGCATTTGAATTCTCTTACCCCTCTTCGACTTCAGCTGATTTATTACTTTTTTCGCAAAGCAAGGAGTGGTGAGCTAAGCTGTTGCAGATCTTGCATGGGTCGTGGAATTTTGAGAAACAGCGAAAACATCGATTATCTCTTTTTAATCTATTTTTCCTTTTCGTGACACTTTCAAATTCGCAAAATTCATATTTTTTTGCTATTACAAAATATGCAGTTTCTTTTAACATTTGTAGTATAACTAGCAGTTGATATTCCTATTAGTATTAAGCTTTTTATTTTCAAATTTCCTAGAATACTTTTATATTCATACCCAAATCATGATAATTTTCAGTTTTGCTACTAATATATATGTCCTTCCTAGACCGTATCTTTTTGTGTAACAGTAAATAAATCCTTAAAATTCCAATCACTATCTGGATACGTTCTATTGAATTCTAAAACAAGTAACTCATTCAAATGTGTCTGTATAGAGTATTCTTATTACCAATCTACCTTTTAATATATCCAAAGCAGAATTATAATTTTCTTTTCTTAACGCAAAAACTTTATACAAAATGCCGTACCCCCTAAATATGACCTTAAATAATTAAATTTATCTATCTTTGTAAGATTACTGTTATTATGAA